CCTTTGAAGTGCATATCTCCACCTTGCCTTAGGACAAGTTGTGTTAATAAAAAGCAAGGGGTCCTGCCAAAACCAGTTTGGCTCAGTGGATAGAGCGTCGGCCTGCAGACTGAAAGGTCCCAGGTTCCATTCCAGTCAAAGGCATGTACCTTAGTTGCAGGCACATCTCCAGAGAGGGTGTGCAAGAGGCAGCTGATCGATGTTTCTAACTATTTATCCCTCTTCCTCTCTATAAAAAAAATCAATGATTGATATATATATATATATATATATATATATATATATATATATATATATATATATTTTTTTTTTTTTTTAAGCAAGGGGTCCTGAGACAAAAAGAACTGGGTTTCTTCAGCCAGACCCCAATGCCTTTCAAAATTATCTTTCGTCTTTGGACTCTTAAGTTACACACAACCTTTCTCCAGATTGCTGAACCCTTCTTAATGCCGGAACAAGAACCCCGGCAGCGCCTCCTGTCATAGACTCCTTCCTCTGGGCCTAAGGGGCCTTTGCTGCCTGCAGGGGAGGGGTTAGAGAGATGGGGGTCCCAGCTGTGGGGTCCCCAGGATAGGCCTGAGTCCACAGCATCCAGCTGTGTGACCATGAGCAAATCCTCCCCCTCTCTGAGCTTGAGGTGCTTCACCGGTGAAATGGACAAAGAGGGTCCCACAAAGACGAAAAGAGGCCATTGAAGGGAAATGTCTCTGAACCAGAAAGCACTCCCAGGTGTTGAGTTTCCATAGACGGTCCATCTGCAGGAGCTCCTGGGCCTGGGGGGGGGGGGGGAGAAACCAGGAGGGGGGCTTCCTCCTAGGCACCGGCCCCTGGCTGGCCCAGGACCCCAGCTCTCTCCACCTCTCCGGGACTGGCTGATGCTCTCCGATGGCTGGGCTGTGGTGGGGACTGCTTGCTAGTGATTCAACAAGAGAGGCTGCTGGTCCGCTGTCCCCGGGCCTGGCAGAGTGAATGCCCGGCACCGGTCCTGGGATGGCGTTTACAGAGCCCTGCTGAGATCTCACCCAGTTAAGCGATCAGTGATGGCAGAGCGAGTGGGGGCCGGGAACGGTGGAGGTGGGGGGCAGGGAGAAAGAAGAGGACACGTACCTTTACATCTGGGATCGGGGCATACACGGCCTTCTCCTGTGAACCTGGCAGCTCCTGCCTCTCTCTGCGCTTCCGTTTCCTCCCCTGCAGAACGGGAACTGCGCTGATCACACGCTGCTGGACCGAGAGGGAGATCACTGTGGCCAGCGCCTTGGCACCAGGAACTGAACACTGCTGCTTTTTTGGGGGAAGACCCGCTGGGTTTTGGGATCGAGGGTTTGCTAGGCAGGGTTTGCTGAAAAGAAGAGCCTTCCTGTAGCAATTTTAAGACTGAGCTCTGTGGTTTGACTGCAGCCTGGATTCTCGGTTCTCGAGTTACAGGGAGGAGATGAGCAAACGCCTTTGGGTTCCCTGGTGTGGCGTTTTCAACCGGTGTGTCCTGGCAGGCACCCCGTGTGTCCTGGCTCTGCAAGAACTTTTAAAACAGGCAATACCTGACCCTTTAGTCAGGAGCACTGACCTTTTCCCTTGGATTATCGCACGAAAGAAGGATAATACCCAACACAATAACAGCTGTCCTGGATGCATGAATCAAAGATACCTAACTTTTGTCAGATTGGAAAAAAAAAAAAAAAAAAAAAAAAAAAAAAAAAAAAAAAAAAAGATAATATTTATATATTTTTATTGATTTCAGAGAGGAAGGGAGAGGGAAAGAAATAGAAACATCATTGATGAGCTGGAATTATCGATTGGCTGCCTCCTGCACGCCCCCTACTGGGAATGGAGCCTGCAACCCCGGCAGGTGCCCTGACTGGAAATTGACCGTGACCTCCTGGTTCATAGGTCAACACGCAACCACTGAGCCACGCCAGCTGGGCAGATAATATATTTTTTTTGGCGCGCCTCAGATTTTAGAAATTAATTCATGTGCCATGAGATGGAAAGGGTTGACAATCCCTGTCCCGGAAAAGGGTCTTTTCTCCAGGTGCCAGCTGTGCCCAGACCCCTCCACTCAGCGGGCACCCTTTTTCCAAGGTGCACCTGACCGGCTGGTATCGCAGGGGCAGGGCCTGCCATGGCATGCCCCGAGAGCACAGTGCCAGGGCGGCCTGCCAGGGCCCTTCCCTCTGCCCACTGCCACGGGAGGCTGTGCCAACACTACACAATCAAGAGTCAGCCCCACCCAGGGGCCCCTGCAATCCAAGCACGAGTCCTGGTGCCAAGGAAGGGTGGCACAGTCTGGGCAATGCTCGGTGTGGTTAAGGGTGGGGGGTGGCATTCACACTGGGAGAGGTTATCGCTGAAGCCACTGCCCGGGCCCAAGGTGCCCCTGCCTCCATCGGCACACCTCCCGTCACAGGGCGCCCCTGTCTCCCACAGCCACCTGCACCTTGGCTCCAAAGATTGTATGTGTGTTAAGTGTCCTGTTTGGTTGCTTGCTTTCGCCCGGCACACGTCACCCTTGGCCATACCAGAGTCCCAGGCGGCTCTCAACGGAAACTCATTCCTTTCAACGCCTTCCTCCCCTCTCTTCTCCTCCCCCCGCCTCCCTCCCTCCTTCCCTTTCCTCCCAGTTCAGCGCACCTCATCTCTGTAGTCAGTTTATTCAAATGTGTCACGAGTTTCTGTGTCTGTCGGTCTTGGTCTGGGCACTGGGGGGGTTTGTAAATGAAAACAGCCTGGCCCTAGCTGGGTTGGCTCCGTGGATAAAGCGTCAGCCTGCGGACTAAAGGGTCCCGCGTTCAATTCCGGTCAAGGGCACATGCCCGGAGTTGTGGGCTCGATTCCCAGTGTGGGGTGTGCAGGAGGCAGCCGATCAATGATTCAGTCTCATCATTGATGCTTCCATCTCTCTCTCCCCTTCTCTCCCTTCCTCTCTAAAATAAATAAAAATATAAATTTTTGAAAAGGGAGAAAGCAGCCGGGGGCCTCGCCTCAGAGGTCTCCATGTGCCAGGGGAGAGCACAGAGGGTGACAGCTGCAGCACCTGTCCCGTGGGTGCCCTGGGATCTCAGGGGGGAAGCAACTAATGTATATGCCCACGTATTAGGCCATCCCCACCTATCAGACATATAGGATGTGTCGGGACTTGGTGAAGACTACCGAGGGCTTCCTGGAGGTGGAGGCTTTGAGCGGATCTTGGAAAGGAGACCTTCTGGGCTGGCTCAGACACTTCTGGGAGAAGACACCGGACAGACTGAGCTGGGGGGGGGAGTATCTCGCCCGGATTACCCCCCCCACTCATTCACACAGCTCCGGGCCAGCCGTGCCCTGTACCAGCCGCGGAGTCTGGGGCACCCGTTTTCCGCTCTGTGAGCCTCGCTGCCTCTCTGGGAAGTGGGGTGATGGCATTTCCTAAGGTCTTAAGGGCCACAAGGGCATGGGAAGTGATCGGGGGAGGGGAGGCTGGTTTGGAATTGGGTCTCCCCGTGTTCCCATCTGCAGCAGGGAGCCGGCGAGGGCCGGAGCGAACAGGCCTCCCTCCTCCCCTCCCAGTGCCGTGTGGGCTCCTCACAGACGGGAGAGGTGCGCACAGACACCTGTGGGTGAATGAGTGGAGGAGGAAGGTGGTGCTCCCTCCGACCGCCCCTGGCCCTTCCAGTTCCCCTTCCAGTTCCCCTTCCTCATTGTCCATCCGCGGGAGCTGACACGCCCCAGGTTCGCCCCGAGTCCCCCCGAGTCACCCCATCGCTCCTGTGTGTGTTTGTGTTGTTGTTTTTTTCTGGCTACGATCATTACATTGTGACCTTAATTGCTTGCTATTTCTGTCTTCACCACTAAGCATTTTTTGTTTGGATATGCAGTGCCCAGTACAGAGCATGGAACATAAGATGTGCTCAGTTTTTTAAAAATTGATTTCAGAGAGGAAGGAGAGAGAAATAGAGAGATAGGAACATCAACGATGAGAATCATTGATCGGCTGCCTCCTGCATGCCCCCACCTGGAGACTGAGCCCGCAACCCAGGCATGTGCCCTTGACCCTTCAGTCCGCAGGCCAATGCTCTATCCACTAAACCAAACTGGCCAAGGCTCGATAAATATTGTACAGAGAGCCCGGCAGGTGCAGCTCAGTGGTTGAGCATCGACCTATGAACCAGGAGGTCATGGTTGCGGGCTCCGTCCATGGTGTGCAGGATGCAGCCTATCAAGGATTCTCTCTCATCATTGATGTTTTCATCTCTCCTCTTCTCCCTTCCTCTCTGAAATCGATAAAAAATATATTTTTAAAAATATGTATTTTAAGGAGTGAATGGATTCATGAATGTGGGGTCCCTCCTCCCAGCCTTTGGACTCTGCCGAAGCTCCTTCTAATTGTAGGAACGCGCTCCCCCTGCCCGGTCACCGGCCGGCCTGGCCTGCCCCCGCCCTCTCGGACATTGCCCGCGGTGACCTTCTGCCTGGTGCGTCCTTTCCCCGCCCCGCACCCCGCATCTGCCCTCCTTGGGGGGCTCGGGCTTGGTCCCCTGCGGCCTGGCGCCTGCAAGGGGGCCTGGCGCACAGAGGGGCCTCCCGGAACCCTGGACGGATGGGTGACAGGTCAGCAGGCTGACAGGCCCGGTGCCCAGCGGGAACCCAGCGGGCACCAGCTGCCTGGCGCGTCCTCCCGCCCCAGGCGCGCGGGAACAGAGGGCGGGATCCGGGGCTCGGCTCCCGCCACCCGCCGCCCGCCGCCCGGTGCAAACTTTCAAAAGACGCGGCGCCGCGGCCCCGCCCCCCGGCGCGGTTGGAGGCGGCGGGCGGCGAGGGCGGGGCCGGCGGGCCCGGCCGGTGCTCCGCCTCCTCCTCCCGCCGCCGCCTCCTCCCGGCGCTCGGTCCCCAGCCGCCGCCGCCGGCTCGCCCGCCCGTGCAGCGCGATGCCCCGCGGCCCGGCCCCGGCCCGGCTGCCCGGCCGCCCGCCGCGCCGTTAGGTCCGCGCGCCCGGAGCCGCCGCCCGCGCCGCGCCCGGAGCCGCGATGGGCAACACGGTGCACCGGACGCTGCCAGGTACCCGCGCCCGGCGGGAGGGAGGCGGCGCCGGCGCTCCTCTCCGGGGAACCCGCCGGGGGACTTCCGGGGAGCCCCGCCTCCGGGACCCCCGGCGTCCAGCGGGCTGGGGGCTCCGGTGCCTCCAGGACCCACCCCCGCGCGCCCGGAGGGAGGGCGGCTCTGCGCTCCGGGAGGGCGGGCGGGCGCCGCGTCCCGGTTACCGTGGGGACCCCGTCCCCGTGCTCCCGGCTGCGGCCAGAGGAGCGAGGGGGCCTTTGGGGCGATGCCTTGCGCCCCCCGCCTTTGTTCCGGCCTGGGGGCGCTGTTGAGGGCGCGTGGGGCGCCCCGGGGGCGGGGGGTGGAGACTGGAGCCGGGCTCCCCGGGGCTTCCGACGGCCGGAGCCACCGTGGTGTGGAGGCTGCAGCTCCTGAGAGTGGGGCTGCTCTCAGGGGTACCCCAGCTTCCAGCTGCCCAGCGCCCCCCGGCACGAGCCGCCTCGGTTTGGCCGGGTTCCCACGCGCACCCCGGCTGCGCCCCCCTCCGGCGTCCGTTCCACCAGGGACTCGAGCCCCTCGGAGCCGCCGCCGCTGCAGAGCGCGTTCCCCTGCGGCTAAACCAGCCCAGACCCGCGGGGGACCCGAGGGGGGGTCAGGGGTGCGGGGGGGGGGGTACCAGGGAACCGGGGGACAGGGCAGCGCGGGGGGCTGTGCGGGCACTTTGCATGCCCGCCGCCCGGCATGCCCTCGCCTTGCACAGAGGGTATGCAAAGAGCCTTCCCGGGAAGGGCGTGTGCTGCGGTTTCACAAGGGAAGAAACTGGGCTGAGAGGAGGGGACGCGACTCGCCCAAGGTCACTCCACCGGCAGGGGGAGGGTCTGGGTGGGGACCCCATCTGCCGGCCAGCCCTTCTCCCAGCCCCCATGTCTGTAGGATAAGCATTTTGGTGGAAGCCTGGGCATCTGTAGCATCCTTTGTGCAGAAGGTGACAGGTGTGTGTGTGTGTGTGTGTGTGTGTGTGTGTGTGTTGAAAGTACAAAGGTGCACACACTCACACACACACACACAATACAATAGCACAGCCCAGTGGGGAAGCCGTGGGTAACGGTGGGGTGGGGTTTCAGGGGGAGAGGGACCGGAGCCCACCTCTGCCCTAACACTCCCAGGTAGGCCCTCCCTGCTAGGTGTCCTCCATCACTGTTCCCCCGGAGGGGCTGCAATGGACGGGCTGAGCGGGGTTCCCGGGGCCGGCTGGTGGAGGAGGAGCCGACTCCTGCTTTTCCAGCCTCTGGGCAGCCTCAGGGCCACCAACTCACACCTCCACACCCTCAGGGAGGCGAGGTCGCCAGGGCGTTCGTGGCAGGTTTGGGACTTGAACCCAGGTCCCCGCTTACTGACAGGGCTGCTGCCCTGCCGGGAGAATCCACCACCCAATCAGGAGGTGCCCGGGGTGCCGCACATACGGCAGCATCTCCCAGGCGGAAGACACGGCGGGGAGGCCCGGGCCCCTTTTAAGGATTTCTTGGTGAAGACACGTTCACGCTGTTCTGAGGAAAGGCCATCCTGCCACCTGTGGGTCAGGCTGGGGTGAGAGGAGGCACGGAGCCGGGAGGTGAGCTAAATATAGCCGGAGGTTCTGTGGTCCCATCCCCGGCCCGGCTCTGGCTGGGCCACGCTGGGCGGGGAGCGGGGGGTCAGATGGCTCACCCACGGCAGGAGCTAAGTGTGGGCTGTTCAGATGTCCCCTGGGGCGGACGCTGGCATTGAGTTTGAGAAAGGGGGCAGAACTGGGGTTCCTGAGCCACCAGGAGGTCGCCTGCGGTTAAGGTCACATACACTATGCCGTCTCAGTCCGCCGTGCTCCCACACCTGGACTATCCTTTCTCGCCTCGCCCAACTTTCAAAACCCAGCTTGGCCCCAGCTGGTGTGGTTCAGTGGATAGAGCATAGGCCTGTAGACCGAAGGGTCCCAGGTTCGATTCTGGCCAAGGGCACGTGCCCAGGTTGTGGGCTCAGTCCCCAGTGGGGGGCGTGCAAGAGGCAGCCGATCAATGATTCTCTCTCATCATTGATGCTTCTAGCTCTCTCTCCCTTCCTCTCTGAAATCAATAAAAAAAATTTTTTTTTAAATCCAGCTTAGTTGCCACCTCCTCCAGAAAGCCTTTCCTGACCACCCCACCCGATCCCACCCTTCGGTCTGCTACCGGCTCCCTTCTCAGGGCTCTGCCGGCACATCTGACCACGTCGCGTGGTGGTCACCCATGTCCATGGTCCACCGCGGGGTGCGTGCGGACAGAGACCAGGTCTGGGCCATCTTGCATCTCTTTGCCCCGCTCAGACCCTGGCGCCGGGCAGGGCTCAGGAGCCGGCTGTGGTGCTGTGCCGCCTGCCTCTGCGGCTGAGCGAACGCTTGTCTCCGTCCCGCCCTGTAGAAATCCTCGTCTCATTCTCGGGAAAAGGACATGCGTGGGGTGCCTTCCACGGGTCTTGAAATAGAGAGCTGGCATTTGCCGAGCACCTGGGTTCTGTGCCAGGCCTTCCTGCATATGTGGCTGCGTTCACACGCCGGGCACGTGGCTGTTGGAGGCTCCTGCACTTGCTGAGCCCTCTGCCTGGAACCTTCTTCCCCCAGGCTCCCCATGCCCTCCCCCCCTCCCTTTGCTTACTTCTGGTCTGTGCTCCCAACCCCCTCTCCCTCCTCCCTGCTTCCCATCTCTCCCTAACCTGGGTTCCACGTGCCGGCTGTGTGTGTAGCCGGCTGTCTGTTCTCTGGCAGGGGAGGGTTCTGTCTATGTTTTCTCTGCTCTGCGGTCAGCGCCTGGACCAGCGGCTCGCAGACCGTGGATGCCCGGCAAATACTTACTGGGTGAATGAGTGCCCTGCCAGGTCGGGGCTCTCATCACCACCTCACAGGGAAGGGACTGCAGCGCACACGGCTCCTCCCGTTGGCAGACGAGGGCTGGCATCCAGGTTTATGTAGCTTCAAAGTCCTGCATTCTTCCTCCGACACGTGGTCCCTCCCCACCCAGGGCTCAGGTGGCACTCACGGGCACCCACAGCCGCCCGGCGTGCCACTGTGTGCCATAAGGAAGCGGAAGGAACATGGGGGGGGGGGAGGAATGTGCTGTGTGATCGATGGCGGGGCCGTCCCTGGCAGCCGGGCAGGCAGCCCGCAGAGGTGGGCCGGGCTCGGCGTGGGAACGCGCATTTGCTGGACTCCTGCTGTGGGCACCACCCGTTCCTCTCTAGCGGCAACCCTGCAAGGGAAGGGGCCTGGCCCCATTTCGCAGATGAGGAGACTGAGGCACAGAGGGACTAAGACACGTGCCCCGACTCGCACGGTTAGGCAGTGGCAACGCTGAGCTCAGGAGACCCGGGTCTGTCTGATGGCTGATCCTCCGTCAGCCTTCCTCTGGGGTTTGTAAGGGGGGAAGTGTAAACACGCAGGGCCCGGGGAGGGGGGGGCAGGATTCCTGGGGAGAGGAGGGGAGGAGGGGAGGGGGAGGAGCTCTTCCCTGTCTCGTACATTCCGCCCCTCCCTCGGGGGGCCTCGGGATCGGCGAGGCTCTGTTTGGGGAAGAGGCTGGACCTAAACTGTCGGTGGGTCGGTTAATCATTGAGGCTGTCCACGCGTGGGCAGGTCTGCCCCCTTTACAGCGCTGGCTCCGTTGCCGGCGTCCTGGTTTGTGCTAAGCTCTGGCTGCCTATTTAAAACCCTCCGGACCCTCTGGAGGGGCCGTGTCTGTCCCCGCTTTACAGGCAGGCGAGTGGAGGCTCGGAGAGGTGCTGGACAGAGGCCCTCGCTCTGGGGTGAGGAGGGACCAGTCTTCCTCACCTGCCCCTCGCTGGACCCCTGGGATGCCGTCCCTTGCCCGCAGAGCTGCTGGAGAAGGAGAGCGTGGGCGCGGGCCCTCGGGGGTCAGGTCCGCTCCCTGCAGTGGGCGATGACGCTCTGGGGGCCCGGCAGCCACTCCTTTCCCTGGATCTGGACTCTCTCAGCTCTGGGAAGACGGGCCTTGGTCACCCCTTTCCTGCCATCGCAGTGGGTGTGTGGATGGCTCTCTGCCCTCTGCTCTCCGCACCTCTCCTCCGCCGTCACCCAGACCGCGTGGTTAGGCCAGGCCTGGCTGCCTTCTCCTGCCTGCCTGGGGGAGCAGGAGGCCTGGGCTGAGCCTCTGAAGCCCACAGGCTGTGGACACGTAGCTGGGCCTGACGGGGCGAGGCCCCTGGGTGATGGCCCAGGAGGATGCGGGGCTGGGGTGGAGCTGGGACTGGGGGTGGTGAGGGCTGTCGGGGGTGCACGTGAGGAAGAGGCACTGGTTCTGTCTGGCGTGTAGGACATGTGGAGAAGGTGCCTGGAGGAACGAGGCCTGTCCTCTGCTCCACCTCTGCTCCCTTCCCTCTCTCCTCTGGGGCTGTGAGAGTGGGGAAGGCTGCCTGGAGGAGGGGACTTCGGAAGGAAAGTTCTAGATGTCTGCCTCCACCCTCAAGCGTCATCCCCTCCGGTCTGCCTGTAGGTCTCCCTGAGGCTCGGTCACCCTGAGGCGTCCTGATTCCCACCTGTGCCGCGTGCTCAGGCTGAGCCCTGTGTGCCCCCCATTCATTTTCCCGACACCCATGGGGCACCTGTCGTGTGCCAGGCACTGGAGGTTCAGTGGTGAACGGGATAGCCAGCCATTGGCAGTGCTCCTGGGGCTGGCCGCTGGCGGAGGAGGAATAGAATGTTCTAGGAGAACGGGGCAGCTTTGATTAGGTTACCCGAGGGCTCGGGTGCCTACGAGAGGGAGGGGTCCGTGTCCACTGCCCCAAGCAAGGCCTGGCCGCCAGACCAAGCGCGTGTTCCACTGTGGGTGCTGTGCACCCAGCTTGAAACACATCTGCAATGAGGTGGCATAGGATGGAGATAAACACCGAGCGCATTTATGCAAATGGAGTACTTTTGCTTCCTAACTGTTTGTTTCAGGTGTGCGTGTACACACGTGCGTATGTGTACACATGTGTGTATGCGTGCGTGTGTCATA